TGTTCCCTTCTCGTTTCAATTGATGTATTGACCACTCCTAGACAATTCATATAGTCTATGTGGAAACAAACTCACCTGAACAATTCGAGTCTTATTCTCTTGTTGATGCAATTGTTTCTCGTTCCCAAGTTTTCTATCGGTAACAGCTGCTTGGAGAGCTTCAGTCTTGACATTCAAATCACTAGGAACAATTTGTACCATATTACCTACTTGAACAAAACTGTTCTGCGATTGAGGCATACTCTGAAGAGCCTTACTGGCCGGTACTTCGATGTCAACAGGCGTAATTTTATTATGGAACACTTCGCTTTTTGAAGGTATGCCGGCTTCGATTTTAGCCGATCTCGAGAACTGGCCGATGGTCTCTAGAATTTGCGACAGTTGGTTCTGTTCGTACCTGTAGTTGTCGTAGGTCGTGCTAATCGGTCTGAGATCTTCTTTGGCGTAACCTAAAATCTGGCGAACGCCTTCGTTCATCGACAGCTGCCTAGACATATCCGTCTTTGCCCTTCCATAGAAATGCGACAAAGGTGATTCAGTCATCTCCTCCAAATTAGGTTGAGGCAGTAAGGAATCGTCCGAAATTGTTGAATCCGCTACGCTTCTTTTCAGTTCTTCTAAAGGTGAAGCGATAACTGCAGGAGGTTCTGATGTGTGTGCTTCCAACGAAGACCTCTCAGACGTTTGGTGGAATTTCACGGGTTTTTGGGGAGATCTGGAACGCCCCCTTCTCGACGATTTCAATGAAGAAGTTCTAGGAGAAGTAGATCTCTTAGGGGATTTTCTTCTTGGCGAAGGCGAACGTCTTCTGTGACTGGGAGAGTTACTTCTTCTAGAAGAATATCTCCTTCTGCCGCCTAGGATTCAAAACAAATCGAATAGAATAGAATATTTACTTCGCGCAAGGTACAAATTATAAAATTTGTATAGTACAAGTCAAAAGGAATAGTGTGCATTTTATCCCATTACATCGGGAAGTGATTTGTTAAAAACATCAAAAGGATTACGAACAACATATAACATATTGCTAGAGACAGTTATCTCTTGAAAGTGCCCTCATTCACATCTTCCAAATCATATGGTTCAGCTGCAATGAGCATTTGTTTTAGTTTGTGTTTAAATACATGTGTTCAAATGGTTGAATAATCTTTGAATTTCAAGACACATAAATGGGGGCCGAGAGAAAACCCCAACATTTTACACAAATGACTCCAAAAAAAAGTAATATTAGTTTTTCTTAATCTCCTGAAAACGCAAACTTGTTTGGCGAAAGGCGCATCGAGAAGTGTATTCCATTTCTGGTGATTGGAAAAGTGCTTGTTTTCGGATTTATTCTCATCATATTCTCTAGAAGAATACTTAAATTTTGTGTTCAACATACAACTCACTGGTTTTCAATAATACATATTTGAATTCAATATTTTTTTATTTACATAAGTTTTACTAATTGACACAATGGTCACCAAAGTTTTAATGAATTATGAGACCCAATGTTTGGTCAATTCTTTACACACCATTGTAATCAATTACCTTCTCTCTCTAGAGCGTTGATTACCAAAGTGGTCCAGATGGACCCCCCTGAGGGCCACGACAGACTCGACGGGGGTTTACGTTGACGTGAACAAGATAGATAGATATTCATTTATTTCTACAGAGTACATGTAAATCTTGTAAAAAAGTTAAAAGAAATACTTTGTCCGAGAAATGAGTCAGTGAACAAAATTACAAGAGATTAATAAGATACAAAATTGAATACAACACGTCACATACACATATGAGTATAGAGTTGATAAGATAAAATTCAACATATACTGTTAAAATATTCATCTATAGTATAAGGCTGTATATTGCANATTTCAATGTCCCAAACAGAATTCTAAGGTCCAGCGATTTGTTTCACTTACGGTTTCATTCTACAAATTATGGCTTACATAACCCTGTTGATCGTACACTTCGACTTATTAATGAAAGAAAATTGGAAGTAACTGGTATATCTCTCAGCAAATTCAAAAACAATCTCTTAACTGCATGGTAGTATTATGATATGTATTTTATAATAACTTAAGTTAATGTAATGTAGTATATTACTTTATTATATAATTGTTGATTTTATTCTCAAATGGGGGTGATCCCGTAAAATAAATAAAAAATAATAAAAAAAAAATGTAATATTGACATTTCTAAACTGACACAATGTGGTTAAACTTCTTCAAGTCATGACAATGACAAATTAGTTCCCAGTTATCTTACCTCATTTATTCAATATATTGACGTCCACACTAACCCACACAAAAAATGAGAGTAGTTTCCATATATTTTAAATGCGTAATACAAACTCAAAAACATTACTTCTCAGGGGATTGAATTATTTCAATAACTTTTCAACTGAAGTGAAAAACTGACCATCATTGTACATTTTCAAAATCAAGCCAAATGAATAACTATCAATTGAAAACATGTGAAAAACTGAATTATGGAATTATCTAATTAATAATCTAATGAAAAAATATGTTCTTTATTATCAAAATATGGAGATGATTTATTTTTATTTAGTTGAATCTCAATTAAACTATGATATACTATCATGAGGAGTAGTTGATTAAACTTAACAACTTTTAGGTCAGTCTTAATTTAGAAAAATATAGGTACGTAAAAATCTGCAAGCATGAAATTTTATAATTCCAACAAAAATAATTCTATAATTATGGGACATTGATATCTGGTGAAATAAGGTGCAGCATTGAATCATGCAGCCTAAACTCAATTTTCACTTTGTTTTTTACTCCCTATTTGTCCGTGTTATGAAAATTACAATTTTAGCCTCAGAAAATTTAAACGAATATAGTAATATTTACCTGGAGAGGATTTTCTCCTAACAGGTGACCTCGCCGGAGATGAATGCCTTCTCGGAGACCATCCCCTTCTTCTCGGAGAGCTCTCTCTCCTTCGATTTCGCGACGAATATGATGAATCAGAACCCCTCCTCGGCGAAGAAGCTTTTCTCTCTGCTCTTTCCCTTCCGTGATGTGCTCCACTCTTTGGACTGCGTGACCTCGAACGTCTTCTCTTTCCGTCCTCCGACTTTGAGACGCCTTGCTTCGCTTCCCTAGCAGCATTTGGCTTCACATCCCGTGCAACATCTGGCTTCACCTCTCGAGGAGGGTCTTGCTTCACCTCCTGAACAATGTCTTGCTTCACTCGTGACTTGATTTCCAGGGCATTTTCTTCTTTCAACTCTTCCTCGGGCAGTTTTCTGGACTTGCCAGATGAAATAGATTTCTCTAGCCTAATTTCATCAATCGCTCTCATTTTATTGCTTTCATCGTCTGAATCTCCGAGATTCAATTTAGAGTTGTTTATTAGCAGCTTCTTCGAAGGCAGGATTAAGCTGGTAAAGCTAAAAGGCTTTTCAGGAGCTTCCTGTGCAACCAAACTGATAGGCTCTTCCTTGAGGGGAGCTGCAGAAGTAACTTCGGCCGATATCTCTGTACTACCAATCTCGCTCATTTCCTTCACAGAGTTGTCGAATACGCTGCTACTAACGACCGAATCTTCCGCTTTGGGTTCGGGATCGACCAGTAAAGGAGTGACAGGCTTCAAATCCAGAGGTATCCCAATCGAAACTTCAATAATTGATGCCAGATTCTCACTAGGAAGACTCAAATTCGATATCGTCTTGATGTCTATGGGTGGTGCCGGAACCGGCGTCGGCTTCACTTCTCCGAGCATTAGCTTCACTTCTCCCGACATCGGCTTCACTTCCCCAGACATCGAGTTTACTTCTCCAGACATCAACTTCACTTCCCCAGGCATATGCTTTACTTCCCCAGGCATATGCTTTACTTCCCCAGGCATATGCTTTACTTCCCCAAGCATTGGTTTCACTTCTTCAGGCATCAACATCACTTCCCTGGGTATCAGCTTCTCTTCCCCAGGTATCGGCTTCACTTCCGCAGGTATCGACTTCACTTCCCCGGGCATCAGCTTCACTTCTCCAGGCATCACCTTCACTTCCCCAGGCATTGGAATGAATGGAATATCTTTCGGAGCGATGATGATTTGGCTTGTCGATGCTTCGCCGATCTTATCACTCTTTATAGGGGTGCTCATTTTCATTGATTTAACGTCGATCAAGTGTCGATTGTCGAAGCTGCAATTTGAATCGCTGAAATCCGAGAAGCTGCTGAGGGATATAATACTTTCATTTAACTTTCTCAAGTCTTCATTGCGGGGCTTTGAAGTAACAGCTTTAATAAACTCCTCGTACTCGTTTTCCAGAACTGCACTGGTGTTCACTGAAGAAGTCGACTCTGAAAGATCGATCGCAACGACTTCTGGAGATTTCCGATCGTGATGCACTACCGTATCTGCTTCCTTCTTGTCCCATCTTCTTCGTTTAGTCTTGTTCTCAACTACGTCGATGGTTTCTTCCTTGCTTCTCTTTCGCTTCGGCGGCGATTCCTTCTCTTTACACTCCACCTCCTCGATGACGGCCAGTTCCAGTTGTTTAATTTTGATTTTATCCAATTCCAGCTGAATTCGCTCTTCGTTTAATGACTGGCTTTGTATTTTCAGCACCTGCAGCTCTTTATCAGCGTCGATGATTTCCCTGCGTTTAAAGGGTTTGATGTTCAAAGGTATTTCCAAATCCAAACCTTCCGCAAAGTTGAGGGGCTTATCGACGACCCTAACCTCTTCGTGAACTTCTTCGTCGCTCTCCCAGGATGTGTTGATATCCTCTTTCGTCTTTGTAACACCTTCGTCGTCGCTCTCCCACACCGGAGAAGAGTCTTTTTCCCAGTTCCCTCGGTATTCGTCAGTGTCAGGTGTGCCAAGGTCTTTAGCTACCTCCATTGTGTCTTTAGCAAGTGGAAACTGTTCAAGTTTGTCTGTTATCGAAGCATCTTCATCGATTCTTTTGGTATCATTATCCTCTATCCATTCAGGCTCTTGCTTTATAAACAGCGGAGGCCTTACGTCTTCAATTTTCTTTGATTTCCTCTTCTCGTCTTTGTAGCGCTTGTCTATGAATTTGTTTTGTTTACTAGGAAAGCCACTTACCACGTCAGTCTTTTCTCTTGAGGATTTTCGTTCTTTGCCTCTTCCGTCCAAATAGTCATTTCTCTCTCTTGATATGTTCACATCTTGATTCTGCAATACTTCAGCTTCAACCACTGACATCATGGTAATATAGCTTTCTCTACTGTGTCTCTTCCTCTCTTTGCTTTTTCCCACCATTTGCTCTATTCCTGTCTTTTCCAATTTGTTCTCTAAGCTTTCAACTAACCCAAGATTGGTCAGTTTTGAATTCATTCTCTCACTTCTCTCTCTTTCCAGCGTCAAAAAGGTTCTCCTCAAGAGCTCTTCCTCTTCCCAGTCGTCATATTTTTTCTTTTCTTCAGTTTTCGGAACTTGATCGTGAGCACCTCTCTCCTTATCTTTTTTGTTTTCTTTCAAGAAACTAGCTCCTTCACTGACTGATAATTCATTACACTTCGTCTTCTTGTCTTTTTTTTTGGATTTTTTCTTAGGTTCTTCCGAAACTGACAAGTCAGCAATTGCCTCTTTTTTCTTTTTTGCACTTTTCTCATTCATGGATCTCTCTTCGGACGATTCTTTTTTCTTTTTATTTTTCAATCGTCGCGACTTGTCCTTCTTGTACTTGTTTTTCTTTTTTTTTGACTTCTCACTCTTGCGTTTCTTGTACCTCTTATATTTCTTCTTTTTATCTTCTTCAGAGCTTGCACTGTCTTCCTCATCTGAGGAAATTTTCTTTTTTTGTTTGTTTTTCTTTTTCCGTTTTTTGCTTTTAGGCAATTCATCTTCAATATCTGAGGACTCTCTTCTTCTCTTCACCCCTGCTTTCTTCTTCTTAGCTTTCGCTCTGTCTTCTTTTAAATTCTTCCTTTTTTCTAGTTCCTTTTCTAGCTCCTTGATGACGTTTTTTGTCATGCTGATTTCATCTATTTCAGATTTGCCATCGCGTGACAGTTCTTCAGGGGTCAACCTATCCTTGTATTTGTTCTTGCTGAATTTATCAATTTTCTGATTGTCATGGTGTGAAATTTCTTCTGGTGTTAGCCTATCCTGGTTATACTCAACGGTTTCATTATTACAACAGATCTGTTTTGGAGTTAATCGGTCAGTATCATCAACTTCTAGTGCTCTATTTTTCTTGTATTCAGTACTGTCAACTCTTTCCAAATGATGCTCTTTTCTCTTGTTCAATTCCAATTTCAAATCAAATTTGATGGGGGTCAGTCTTTCTTCCAACTCATTCGTTTCAACTTCACTCGAAAAAATTTTCTCATCATCACCATCAGTTGTTTTGGATATTTGATAATCACAATTCAGCCTAACGGGTGTCAATCTTTCTTCATCACGATTATCCACATTACTTTTCAGATGAGCTGTTATTTCCCAATCACATTTATCTTTTTTGCGTTCCTCCTCATTTGGGGAGGCCTTTTTGGAAGAATCTACTAACTCATTGATGATCTCATCCTTTTTGATTGTTTCTTTTACTGAATCTGTGTGGTCCTTATTCTTAAAGACAATTTCTTCAGTGTAATTTTCGAATGATTCTTGAGCTTTTTCATTATTGCAAGTAATTGCTGAAGCAGAGCCACTGTGATCCTTTTTCTTAGTCCTGATGTTGCTAGTAGGAAGTGTATTTTTATTGTCAACTAAGTCTTCAGGTTTCTCATTTTCTTCAGTTATTGCTGTAGCAGAATCAGTGTGTTCATTTTTTTTATCAATGATGCTGCTACAAATCACAATTTCTTCAGCTTCATTTTCCTCCTCTTCGTCTGAATAATTCTGAAGAAATGACAAACCGACAGATTTTTCCAAAACCTTACACTCTGGTTCCCCAGCTTTTTTCCACGATTTATGGTACCACGGTTGGCTCCTGTTTCTTTTACTGGATGGTTGAGCTCTGGTGAAAAAAGTTGATTAGTTCATTATTCATTTGATCAGCTACTGTTTCTATATTATCTCCTGAAATTGATAACAAAGTGTCGTCTGCAAAAAGATTCATGAAATCACAATCATGGATGATATGTATCTATATCCTTCAGGTAGATTAAAAATAATATAGGTCCCAAAACACTCCCCTGAGGTACATCAAAAATGACATCGCGAGATGATGACACTGAATCCTTTATTTTGGTTACCTGTTTGCGTTGTGATAAATACTCAGTCAGCCATAACTAAACAGTTTCCCTGATACAAATACTTTGCAGTTTATTTAGTAATATGTGGCGACCAAGTGTCTCAAAAGCTCTTTTAAGATCTAAAAATACGGCTATAATATAATGTCCCTTATCTATTGATTCTTTCCATTTTGATATTGTGACTTGTAATGCAGACTCACATGAATGATGTTTTCTGAAACCTGACTGATATTTCAGTAAAATATCATTATTTTCTAGATATTCAATGAGTTGATTATAAACTGCGAGTTCTAATATTTTTTCAATACAAGGCAAAGTGTTGATTGGTCTAAATTCCCAGGATTAATTTGTGTTAGGGACTTTCTGAATTGGCACAAGGACACTGGTTTTGAGCTCCTTTGGGAATCTGCCAGTGCTCAAAGATGTATTTATAAAATGCAACCAATGCATGTCCTATAACACCAAACGTTTTTTTAATAAGTTCAGTTTAATGAAAACAAAATTTGTCTCCGATGGGCAATGCACAAAACAAATTTCATCTACAGAATGGCCAATTCAAAAACTGAAAATTCTGTTAATTTCAGGATATTACGGTAAAAATCAATCAAAATGCTTCATTGTTAAAAGAAATGAGTCTTATTGACAAAGTTATTGTAGAAATAATATAATACAAAATAGAAGTATTACAGAATAAAATAGGCGTAAAAACTCGACTATATAAAATGTATAAAAATAGCGTGAAAAATAAGAAATGAATGTTTTTTACCCCTTTTATCACAGAAACATACAAAGTTTAATTTCTCATTTTTCATGATCTCCTACCACGTAATAACGGCTACATTTGGTGTTAGCCTATCCTGGTTATACTCAACGGTTTCATTATTACAACAGATCTGTTTTGGAGTTAATCGGTCAGTATCATCAACTTCTAGTGCTCTATTTTTCTTGTATTCAGTACTGTCAACTCTTTCCAAATGATGCTCTTTTCTCTTGTTCAATTCCAATTTCAAATCAAATTTGATGGGGGTCAGNTGAACGTAAGTTCACATATCATGGCAATAAAATAAGATATATCCCAGTATAAAATAGAATTTAAAGTATAGGTGTTAATATAAACAACAAAAAAAACCAGCTTTATTAAATCATAGCAAAGTTCCATTGTAATATTCATCAAGATTGTAGTACGATAGTTGCAAGGGCATCTTTAACAAGATTTGTGAACTTTTTATAGCTTTTTTCCTTCCTAATTTCGTAAGGTATGTGATTATACAGCTTTTTACTTTCATAAATCAAAGAATACTTTGTCTGGCTTGTTTTTGGAACAGGAAGATGTATTTTATTTTCAGTTTCTTGCCGGGTTATGTATTTTGTATGTTCCGGAGTTCCAACCATATTATGTTTTTTGTAAATCAGGCAAACAGTTTCAAGTATGAAAATAAAGTAACAGTGAGAATTTTTTCTCTCAAAAATAATGGTCTGCATGACTCCACACACTCCCATCTTACATAAGTATCTAACCGCTCGCTTTTGCAAAACACTGAATGAAAAAGTAGTTGACTGCAAAATCCCCAGAAGGCAACACCATATCTCAGGCGGCACTTAATCAGGGAATGATATACCATTTTTGTTGTGGATGAACTCAGTTCATTTCAAATTATTCGAAATGCATAACATCCTGATGCCAATTTTTTATTTAAAGCTGAAATATGTTGATCAAATTCTAATTTGTTATCCATGAAGATTCCCAAGAATTTGGATTGGTTTTTATTCCCAAGAATTTGTCCATTCAAGTTTAAATTGTTAATATTACAGTAGGTTTGCTGCATAAGTGCACAAGTTTAACAAGGCCTTTAACACCAACAATTTCAGGTATCTCTCAAAATATCTTATTGAAAAACCTTGACAACAATAATTTTTACCAATATTGTATATGTGTAATGTTGTCTTTCGTGCTTAAAAAAATTGGTGGTAACTATTTGTCATTCAATAATAATGAAGCCCTATCTGAAACAGTAGTTTTGATGACTCGATTTCTTAACAAAGCATTTACCTCTGGAGTTTAAAAGTAGCCTCAAACAGTACAAATTATGTTGATACTTGACTTTGACAAAAATAAAAGTTCTGTAAAATGTCTTTTCTGTTTCTGTCAGCACATAAATAGATTTCTGTAATTCGAATCATGTCAAAATGATTTATTGAAACTGTCAAAATTTTTGTTGATTTGATACAATGAAAATTATAATAAAAATGAAAACCCAAAAAGGTTAATGAAAAACTTGATTTTGTCTGTGAAAGTGTTAAATTATTTGGATATTCAGTATTATTGTGATATTCAAAAGTTAGACCAAATGCAAACCTGATTAACAATTTTTTTTCCACATATGCATATTCAGCACTGCCTTGAGGATTGAAAAAAACGCTGCCACAAGTGTATTATATCTGATGGGGGCTACTCTGAAGAGGACAAAATAGAAATTGATGAATAAATAAATATTTTTTGCGACAAATGAAAATTCACCTTAGTTTTTTAACAGACCTCATAACTAATAAGAGAATTAGGAATTCATCAAATCAACAAGTATTTA